GAGCTTTTCTTTCCATGGTCATTCATTTCTAGCAAGCAACGAACAAACATATTAATAAAAACACTATTTATTATAGTGCTCAGATCAAGTCATATAGACCGATTCTGGTAGAAAAGCACCGCAAATCATGAGAAAAATCAGAAGACATTCCGATTCCTCATACTACCTCCTAAACCCATTGATTTCTACTGTTTTTCTGCTAGATGACATGAAGTTCCTGTGAAATTGGCTTTTTTCCTCAGTCTTAAGTCGTCGACTTGCGTGGACATGATTAAATGCACCCGATTAAAAAAGAAATACCACAATCAACAGTATTCAAGAACTGAGAAATAGAATTTCATCAATTATTGAACAACTATCACCAGTACTGTGACGATTTTAGATAGAAGAAGTGTTAGCGCTGATGAAACTACGCTTTATTATGTTTCTTCATATTCATAATCTCATCGTTTACATACAAAGCATACGCTTATATACTCGACCATAAGAGAAGAGAAAACGATATAGAAGAGAAGGATAATAAGGAAAGAAGGGAAGAGTACTAAGATAGGGACAAAGTACAAATTGATGTACAAAGTAAAGACAAACAGATAAGTACAATATGTAAGATGAGAAGAAATAGTAAGGAAAGGACAAACATCATGTATACAATGCACTCGGACAGAAGTTTTACACTGTCAGATGAAATTTGGACGTTCTCTGTATAGAACGTCACAAGTACTATGATAATTTGTTGAAAAATCGGAGATTGATCACGAATTCTTCCGTAGTTACATGACATGTGATAGCTCGAGTAGTGCTTTTTTCTGAAATTCATTTTGTAATCATACATCCATTTTTGCAGAGCACTTCTCTGATCTGAACGTGAATACGATTTGTATCCTAGATCATGTGGTATTTCTAAACTGAGAGTAACAGAGAGCTATGGATTAATCGAAGAGAAATTCTTATGTTTTAACACATATTATATTTATCGATTATAGTGAAACGATTTAATATACAAGAAGAAAATTAACTATTCTAGTATATAACTGATGTAATTACAGATTCAAAATACAAATTTTGATCGACCATCTATATAAAATGTCTAGTAGCGACTATGAAAATTCTTCATACTTGTCCTTACCATACGATAAAGAATTTTGTGCAATAAAGTCGAAATCTTCTCTTTGTCTAAACAGCTTTGAAAACTTTTGTACTAAACGTAAGAAACAGTTATAATTTTTGCAATCTATTGAAGCACTTCAGCTATGCAAAAATAGTGTTGAGTATTCGACAATAGTCCACTTTTCAGTATGAATATATTCAAATAATTCTTCTAGAATACCTTAGCACTGGTAGTATGAAAAATCCATGATCTAGGCACACAGTATTCTTATTAATCGGTGGAAAAGTGTAAGTTACTGATGGATTGAATGCCAGTAATATTGTAAATACTGCAGAATCGTAATAATTATCACAAGGAGATTGAAAAATCTATAATTGTATAATTATTGATATATTCCATCTTTTCTTGACCACTTAAGAACAAGTAACGCTCGTCGGCAGGACTCGCTTAACCATTGACGGAATTCAATCTTGTTATCATGTGTTATCCTTTTCTGAGTTCTGCTTTGACAATTATTGTGCAACACATGCATAGACGAAAATCTGTCTATAGTATTGTCAGTGATGACCATTTGATAAAAGATTCGGACCTTTCTATATTCCATTCTGAATTTCTAAGATTTATTTAAGCAAACAGCTCGCAGTCGATGGTCGTGATTGAATTTAACCCATGCCCCAATCCTCTCAGACCGTAGTCCGACGATGTTTGTTCATCCTCTCAAATTTTCACTTTTGTCTAAAACTATTTGTATTTTCAGATCCTACTTACAAGATCTAGATGTCGAAAACAACTGACCATCGATCTTTTAGCCGATGCTTTTTTTGACCTTGATACATACAAACTGATTTTGTTTCATATGACCCTCTCTTCAGTCGAGGGAATATTTGATTAAAACAACTGCAATAAGCTATTCGACAGGACGAGCAAAAGCTATATAGAAATGCGGGGACCCGTTTTGGTTTGCTGATCTCGGTAGTGTGGACCATGACCGAGACCGCAAGACGTAAAGTTGCTCTTAAATTTTTCACATTTTTCAGCGTATAATATTTCAATTACATCATTTCCTCGTTGAATTAATCAAAATAGAAATATTTAAAAAAATACCTCGAAACAAAATACAAAAGAACACACTTTCTCCATAGCTTTGCTTCTTTGTAAAAATTCGTTATTTTCTTTTAAAAATGCCTTATCTAGTAAAAAAACTTGATAAAAAAATTTTTCAAATCTGATGATGCCATTCGATTCCTCACCCTTGAAAGTCTTTGATCAAACTTTATAAAAATTCGTTATTTTCTTTAAAAAAAAAGCCTTTTTTAGTTAAAAAAAAAAAATCATAAAAAATTTTTCAAAACTAATGATGCCAATCGATTCCTCATTCTCGAAAACCTTAAGTCACTTTACAGGAGTTCGATATTGAAAAGAATTGACCATTGATGTTTAAGCTGATGTTTTTTTTGACCTTGATGCTCTTTTGACCTTGACACATACATACAAACGCATTTTATTTCATATGGCCCTCCCTTCAGTCGAGGGAATATTTCTGTTTTTATATTTTATTGTGCGCTAAGCTCAGGATGGTGAAAAATATTTCGACCCATATGATGATTATGATGTTCGTAAAGCGCTTCATTAACTATTCAATTTATCTTGTCTTTTTTTCAAAAGTTCTATTGCCTTTATATCATAGCAATCACTGTAGAACTTCATATGTAAAAGTTCTACATACAAAAAAGGAATTGGTAATGAAGCAAATTCAATGAGTTGAACACATATGTCCTATGTAAAAATTAATAAACGTATTTCGAATTATGTATATAGCTATTTAAACAAAATAAAATCGTATTATTAATGAAAATTTTTTATCATATGTCAAGTTTATGTTACTTTTAAATGGCATTTATATCAAAATTTAATGTCAATATAAACAATTGCTTATATCGAAAATATTCCTATTTTTAACTTTTTTCTAAAAAAATCAATTCAACCAATGAAATCATGTCGAAAGGACATTTTTATTTTAGTTAAAAAATTTCTGGAACAATATTCAATATAAATTGCGATTATTCAATAAAAAAAAATATGTCCACTGTAATCTTGATATTAATTGAGAAAATATTCTTTTTTAGTAAATCATCGTAATTAACATCCTATTAGATTTACTCATTTTGTAATTATTAAAATTTATTAAAAATGTCTTCCAAGTATTTTTCCTAAAATCGAAATAAATTTTTTATAGACTACATTTATTTCGATCTATTTATTAGCATCATTGAGAATTATTTGTTAAATGTCTTTCTACTGTTTTTATTAACTGTCTTTGGTTCATTTTGTTGAAAGATGCTAAATTGATAATAAATATATCGTTGATTTTCGAAAAAGTATCATTAAAGATTTTCTTAGATAAGATTCTTTTAGTGTAGCGTGTTGACGATGTACATGTGGGCGAAAGAAAAGAATATATATCAAGAACTACATTCAGCTGTTGAGTATCTTTTTCTTTCAATCAGGAGATAATGTCTATGAATAACAAGAATTTTTCATGCAATAGTCCACTTTTTTGGGCTACATCTAACTATGCAAGTAGACAAGAAAAATAACCATCTCATAGAACAATGTTGATAGCATAGAAATATATATTTTTTTATCTCTGCAGACATCTGTCTTCGAGAAGAGACTATTATTAAAGGGACGCTACGTAGAATCAATGAAGAATAATACTTTACTCGGCATAAAAGATCTAATTTTGTCGTTTTTTGAAAAAATCATTTTCATTTGTTAATTAGTTCATTTGTAAGCGTGATTCCATTATGATAATTCGCTTTCTTATAAACATTCAAGTCTAAATGAAGAGCAAGCATGACAAAATCGTCATAGAATGATAAATTTTTTTACTGGAATAAAAGATATCATTTTTTTCGCTTGTAGTTTAATTTTACAAGAAAGTATGAATACGTAGAAGAGATTTAAGAATCTCATTAACTAGTCTGGATATCAATTGATAATGGTTATCATGTACTTTCAGCATTTGTTTTCAAGGGATACCATTTAAATGATATTCATTGATAGTAAGAAATTTATCATCATGATATCTATGCTGCTTTCTAATGTCGAAATTCGATACAACACATATGTTACTCAAAAGAACTTTTCAACAAAATCGATGGTGTTCTCCATATTCAAACACTATATCATATCAATGTTTTGCATGAGGATATAATTATTTAAGTATTAATTTTATGTTATCAAAACTGATTAAAGCCATTTTATTGACTGTTTTGCCATAGGTGTTATTTCTATATTTACTTCAATGAACTATCTTTTTCTTTTTGAAGAAATAAACCTTTACTAAACATCAACATGTTTAAAGCATGATTGCGTCAGACACTTTTTTTCTTTATATCTGTATCTCGTCATGTCAGTTATAAATTGCTGATAAAAAAAAGCTTTTCAGTACGCTTCCAGTTCATGCAAAGCTTTTAACTCTTTACTTAATATTCACACCCACTGTCCAGTCTTGATGGTTCCGTCGGGATTCAACAAGTTGAGCTAACTGTCAGTTTAAGAAAGAGAAAATATGTTTTTGTTCCCAATAATCTATGTCTCGTCGAGAACACGACCTATTTCTTTCACCCGCTATATCTAACTTGTGGACCACGCCCTAGAATTACGATGTATAAATGTACACCAGCCTACATCTTTTGCATAATCAAGGGTATTATGTACATATTTTTCTTTCTGCTGTCGTGAAAATGATAATAGTATTTAAGCGATGTTGTCTGAGAGACTATCCATCAGTAACGAGAGAAAAAAGAAATCGCAATAACTAGCTATTCGAGATAATTCATCTTCTTCTTCAGAAGTAACTACATACAATCAAGTCAAACAACAAATAATGAGTTCAACACCAAAAGGTAACTTTTCTAATAACGATTTCTTTTTATATAACATTGATAATTATTCTTAGTAGATAAATCAGCGTTAGCAGCTGCTATTGCTGAAGGCCATCGAACTGGTGCAGAGAAACCTGAAATTGATCCACGTCATAAAGCTGATACAGAAAATCAAGGTTGGCTTTCAGGTGATCAATTTACAATTGCTGAAACTCCTGTTGCTCATTGGAATGCAACACCTGGAACCAAAGAATAAAACATTGTCTTCTTGAATGAATAACTATTGATTTTCTATATAAACGAGCATTTTTATTTGTATGCATGTTAAAACATTTTCTCTGTAAAATAAATCTTATCAATTAATCTAATTTGATATTTGTTTTATTGAATCGAAAATTTTGCATATTTTATGTATGGATCAATAAAATATTATTAAAATTGATTTTTTTTTCTGTGGTGGATAAAAAGATGAAAAAGCAAACATTTAATATTAAGATACATATTTTACATTCAATCCAAACACTGATGACCAATTATCGAGTTCTTAATAGTATATTCTATGTTTCCAAGCGATATGAGGGAAATTAGTAGTTCGCAGACAAGGAAACATATGCAACTGACAAATGTCATTCGGCTTTATATTATACATACGAGCAGATGTCTATGACAGTGAGAGAAGCTTAAAATAATCCAGGTTCACGATCGATTGCTGATTAGCTCTGGTTGTTGCAATGAAATTTCTATTAGGATAGATGCATTTATGAAAGACTAAGAACAGAGAATTTTTATCTAGAAGCTAATTTAATAGTCATTAGATAGCTCTAAAAGTTCCAAACAAAGCGAACATGTCTTTTTGGAGATATTGAATTTTTGTATAAAAGAACAGAGGACTTACCATAGATTTATCTAATGACTATTAAATTAGCTTGTAGACAACAATTCATAGTTTTTGTTCTTTCAGAAATGCGTCTATCTTAATGGAAATTTCATTGCAACAATCAGAAATGACCAAAAGTTGGTTGTAGGTCTGAGTTATTTTAATCTTTCCTTATTCTCATAGACATCTACTCGTAGACATAATATGAAGCAGAATGATATCTAACAGTTGTATATATTGCCGTGTCTGAGTACTATTAATTTTCCTCATATCGCTTGCTTCTTCGTCTTTTTATCCACTACAGAAAAAAAAAATCAATTTTAATAATATTTTATTGATCAATACATAATATATGCAAAATTTTTCATTCAATAAAACAAATATCAAATTAGATTAATTGATAAGATTTATTTTATAGAGAAAATGTTTTAACATGCATACAAATAAAAATGCTCGTTTATATAGAAAATTAATAGTTATTCATTCAAGAAGACAATGTTTTATTCTTTGCTTCCAGCTGTTGCATTCAAATGAGCAACAGGAGTTTCAGCAATTGTAAATTGATCACCTGAAAGCCAACCTTGATTTTCTGTATCAGCTTTGTGACGTGGATCAAGTTCAGGTTTTTCTGCACCAGTTCGATGACCTTCAGCAATAGCAGCTGCTAACGCTGATTTATCTACTAAGAATAATTATCAATGTTATATAAAAAGAAATCGTTATTAGAAAAGTTACCTTTTTGTGTTGAACTCATTATTTGTTATTTGACTTGGTTGTGCGTAGTTATTTCTGAAGAAGAAGATGAATTATCTCGAATAGCTAGTTATTGCGATTTCTTTTTTCTCTCGTTACTGACGGATAGTCTCTGAGAAAACGTCGTTTATATACTATCATCATTTCCACGATAGCAGAAAGAAAAAAATGTACATAACATCCTTGGTTGTGCAGAAAATGTACGCCTGTGTATATATATCGATATTCTAGTACATGATCAACAAATCAGAAATAGCGGGTGGAAGAAGCAGGTCTGTTTCTTGTTGAAACAGAGGTCAACAGGAACAAAATATATTTTTTGTGTTTCTTACACTAAAGGATAGCTATATATAGACGTTATATGTTGAATGAGAAAAGAAGACCGTCAGAAGTTGTTGATCTATTTACAAAGATATTTATTAGATTAAAAGAAAAATGAAAAAGTGAGAATACAAAAATGTGTGACTATCTTTTAATGTTAGGAATTCATTTTATTTCTCAATCAATGATAATAATGCAGTGACACTTTAATTTTTATGAATAGGAATTTTCAACCTATGTTCTAGTAATTTTGGTCATCATCAGCTCAAAGACGTCAATTGCATGTATGATTCTAATTATAATATTGCTATAATATAAATCTTCTTTTTTTACAACGTACTATTATTGTTATTGACGAAATATACATACTTGAATGCACGAAAAATTCATTAAAAGTCATACATTAGTATCTCAGTCAAGACTCAAGATAATGTCTATTGACATATGTATATGTATATATTTATGACTATGGTTCTAGTTATTATTATCGATCAAAGTCGCTTTTTTCGGACATTTTTTTTTTATTTTGACTGTACTAACTAGAGAAAGAAACAAATTGAAACTTTCTATTCGTAAGTTTAAAACTATACTACATTATTATCATTCATTATTTTATTTCTTAATTGTTTGGCTTTCTCATATGAAAATATAAAAGATTTTGTTTTAGCACGATTAACACTATTTCGACCAATCTAAAATGTGTTTCTTAAAATAAATAAATTGTTGCTTCATGAAATGATTTATTAAGTATCTTATCTTCTTTTGACGCAAACGAGCATCAATATCGAAATAATTCGTTTATGTCACACAACCTTCAATCAATCCCATATTACTCATTTTGACATACTGAGTCGCAATAATGATTCATATTGATGCGTAATTGGTTGGAACTGATCGTATTTTGACGCTATTGCAACTGATGTTAGTCAAAAGAAGAAAAAAAATTATTACGAGTTATTTTTAGCAGTCAGTTATTAATCGGGCTTATTGATAAAACAAACATTTTTTTTTTACTATCCGCTTGATAATTTATTTTAATTAATACATGCTAAGTGACTAGGATGAGGTTGTCTAAATGTTGGTATGTGTATTGATGTGCCCCCGAAAGACGAGAAGAACAGCATCAGTGACGTATGTACACATCCATATCACATCTGTTAATAATTTCTTCAGTTATATCTATATCAAGACGAGAAATTTATTCAATTAGTAAGAAAAAATTTATCGAACAATGATAGATTTGTTCAAGTACATTTTATATTTAAGCATCTAAATAAAGACCAAAATGATCAAGATTACTGCTTATGATACTAGAAGAAAGTACAGAATCTGATGGAATAATTGAAATATGACGTCCAGCATCATTTAATTCAATAGATACTATATCAAGATCATCAATCAACAATAGCAATTGTTTTACCAAATTTAAATATTTATGAAATATGATTGCTTCGAAGGAGACACGACAATATTTTTAAAAGCAATGCAACTTTCTGATGGTTAATTCGTTGGTATTACAGTAGATGGTTCTTGATCATGGAAATAATATTCAAGTATTCGTTCGATCGATGTCATTTGAATTTCAACTTCTATTTAATTGTCTTGAATAAACAACGTTTTCTACATAAAAATGTACCTTTTATTTTAAAAATCGAACCTGATGGTCCGTTGAAAAGGCTCATTAGATTGAGACTGCAGGTGAGCATAAGAGCGATTTTTACAGCTGAAACTTTGACAAACAATTATAACAAGTCTAGTAGTCAAAGCAATAAAGATTGGAGATACCCAATTGCAACAGATTGCTGATCGTTTATTCCATTCTGCAAGTGAAATAGGTAATTCGTATATTATTATCGAGATGAGAATGAGATTTTGTAGGACAAATATTTTCAACACGATTAGATTGAATAAATTTGAGTTTATAAATATTATTGATATTTCAAAAAGACCCTTCACTTGTAGAAATATCGGCTGAAATGAATGATAATGAGTTTAATAATCCAACCAGAATAATTGGACTCTAAATTTAAGATAAACAGTCAGAAAATATGTCACATGTATATTAATTTAGACTAAAAACAAATAACATTTATTTTTCTCCAAAAAACAAAAAGTCATTTACAATCATTAACTTGATGCAAACATGAATCTTTCACAATCTATAACCCTAATTTTCGATTTCAAGAAGATTCAACAATTATCAAATCATAAATATGCTTAACAAATAATAAAAAATGAACCTCGGCCTTGCTGTTAAATGGTGATATTCAGCCACAAAAAATTCCTGAATCAAAGTTTTTTCGTTAAATTACCAACCGATTCCATACCTGATCTTAGTTTATAGGCTCTGAGAGGAGGACAAAAAACGAAAATAATCTTTGACGATCTCTCATTCATATTGATTTTGCAGAACTTTTTAAGCAGATTATGTCATTTGTTTTTTGTTGATCACATGGAAAATATCAAGTAAATTTTACATTCAATATCTTTCATTTTTCTCGAAAAACTTCACTTTGAATATGTACATTGTTTTTACAACTTCAATTATCATACGAATATGTACGCTATTCTCTTCTTGCTGTTGTCTATCATCTATGTTATTTTTTACAAGTGTTTTTCTCTTCTCTTCTTCAAAAACTTTCATATGATTGGTTACAGAATGAAGAAAAAAAGTATACAAATATAAGTATATCGTAACTTCCAAATTGCGAACATTTTGATTAAATAGTTATTACAATAACTGATTATGAGTTCAATTTTATTAATAATATAAATATAGAAGTTTGAGAATAAGAATGGTATCATTTCTTTTTATTTGATAAGTCAACACGAATTTGTCATTTGAATATATAATAATAAATGAGAATAATGATGAATGAAAATAAATTACAATATAATAACTTTTTTCTGTTGCTATTATTCTATTTTCTTACAAATAATAAAAATATTTAAAAAAAGAAAAAAAATTATTATATTATTTTTTTTATTTTCGTTCATCATTATTCTCATTTATTATTATATATTCAAATGGCAAATTCATATTGATTTGTCAAATAAAAAGAATTAAAACTATATCACTTAATTATAAAAAGTATTTGCAATTTAGATATAGTCGTTTTTTCTGTACAGGTGTTGAAAAATTTTCACGACGTTCAATTCTCTGTCAAACAAATGAAGATGTTCGATTAATTAATAAATGCGTTTTGATAAATTTAAAAAATGTTGAACAAATGAGTTTTTATGCGATTGACTCTGTAAAAAATAATGGCGATGTAGCTGATCATGATTTACAAGTCAATATTCCG